TGAAATGCTTTACTTATACTGTTTTCCACACATTTCACAATGGATGTTGAGTTATCTATTTCAGGAAATAAGTGCCGATTAAAATGCAGAATTCATTCAAGTCAATTAGTTGTAGCATTGGTTTTTGAGTATGTATTTCATATTTGATTACTGTCTCGATTTTAGTTAGCAGTTTTGTCACATAATGCCAAAGAGGGAGCTTGTTAGGTTTTTAATAATATAATTGGCAATTCTATAAACAAAGGGATTTAATTATAAATTTTGTAAAAAGTCAGGGAGTAATGTGAAATTATATGAAAATAGCTCGTTTTGGCCTAGGGTTCAAATGTGGCAAAATAAGGAAAATACGGTGCGAATTTTCGCTAGACTGTCGCTATGGATTGGCTCGAGCATAAAAAACAGAACCTTCGTTGCTCGACTATTGCCCTGCCTTAGTTCGAGTGACGGCCTGTCGCTCGATGTCGCTGTGCCCTCGATCGAGCGACAGTATTGTTTGAAAAATTTTTACTTCGCGATTTAAAGGTTTTTCCCTGGCCAATTACTTTTCTAACCTACCTATAAATATCACAACACATCTGAACGTGATTCGAGAAGGTTGATTATTGAGAGAGTTTCATCAGAGAGAATTCCTACGTATTCCTACTTTCAACATTCGTCCTGTAAGTTCGTTTTGGTGAGAAAAATATCACTTTCATAATCCAAATACCAAACTGTTCTTTCCTCCGCTTCTGTCAGAGTTGCTGAAAATTGAGTGAAGTTGACTGGAGTTCCCGTCGTTGAAGAACGCGATGTTCTTTGTGGATCCACATGAGATAAACGATTTCACAAAGGTATGAGTTATTTCAGGAGAGCACAATCTAAGATTGCTTTAAAAATTGTAGTTGGGAGTGGTGCATGAGCACATAATCTAGAAAAGCTGTTGGAATTGCAGTCAGGAAATCAGATAGTACGTGTTGTCTTCTAATCTGGTAGACTGTAAGTTATAAATCGTTTATAGTAGATTGTTGATTGGCAAAGTACTCAGAGTTTTTACCCATTTGGGATTTCTCCGTGATCATACCATGTGTTTTTACTGCTTTCTTTATTGATTATAATAACTGCGGTATTTAAACATATGTTAAATTGACTTGCATGCTTAATCATCTAGAGATAATTAATTGGTGACAGGTTGCTAATTAATTAATAATTTTAATTTCGTNTAAACAATCAAAATAATCAATTTAACTAAATTCTTCTTTTACAATGAAACATTAAGTAAATGATTTAAAATATTTATTTAAAATTACTTATTTAAATTGTTTATAAATTATTAAATAAATAATCAAAATAAATTATTTCATTTAATTGTTTATCTAATTTGTTTATTTTAATAGTTTGTTTAATATTTAGTTACAAAAAACGAGTTTATAAATAAAAAAAATATTATTTAGTTATAAATAATAATTTATTAAATAAAAAAATAAATTTTTTATTTAAATTGCTTATTTAATATTCTATTAATTATAATTAAATATTACATTAACAATTAAAATAAGCAATTAATTATAAATTCTTTTTTAAAATGAAATATTAAGTTTAAATTATTTATTTTAAATAAATTATTTCTTTAAATTATTTATTTAATTTATTTAATTTAATAGTTTATTTAATATTTAATTACAAAAAAAAGTTTATAAGTAAAAAATCATTTAAAATAATTGAATATTTAACAATAATAATTATGCAAGATACAAATTACAATTAATAATATACATATTACACATGCGTTGAATTGTTATGTAGAGGAATCTGATTTGTACAAAATCGACGAGTATGCTTTGTTATGCCTCACCTGCAACACTTACAAGGTTGAGAAAATTCTCATGTGGATGAGATTCTAGACGTATGTCTATGTCCAGAGCACGTGGTCCGACTTCGGGTGGCAACCAATTATTTAGTGAGAGAATATGGTCGGGAACTTCCCACTCAGGCAGAGGAAATATTGTTTCGGCATACGTTGCTTTTCAATAATCAGCTATGTACTAATTACTACATAAGGTGTGTGTGGGGAAAATCCTCTATGCATAGCCACTGCCGCTACATACGTACACAGAAAACTTTTCAATTGAAACTTTCTACACGTTCATATGTTATCATTCAAGTCCACAATGTGTCCGATATTACTTCTACATCTCACGGAGAAGCGAAACTAATCCAGTGGTTCCACCCATACCTCTCTGCCACCTCTAGAGTCTTGAAGAGTTTATCTTCCTGAGTTGGAGTCAACACACTTGTGCAACTCTGTGATTCCTCACGTCGGTCATGAAACTGCTGCTGTAACTTGTTACGAATTTGCTCAATCATTGCGAGAATTGGTAAATCTCGATCATTCTTGAAT